TCCAGTGAATGAAACATTTTAAATATTGAATATTTTTCATAGGAATTACATCAAATATATTTTTTTGTTAAAACATCATAAACAAAACAGCAGAATAGATGTGTTCACATCAGATTACATACAGCAGTGCATAATTTTGCTTTTAAGGACTAATTTAATTGAATGATAAATACAATGCAAAGACTTCAGCAGATATTCTGTAACTTCTTAGAATTGGTATTAAAAAGTTATTAAAAAAACTCTAGCAATTTTAACACATTAAATTTCAAAAACTTTTAAAATTACAAAAATAGAGAGTTAAAAACAACATAGAACATTCACTAAAAGAAAAGCCATTTCTAAAAGCATTAGCTTTAACTAGATGAATTTAGAAAATGCACAACTTTTGAACTTTTTCAATAAAAAAAATAATTTAAGAAGCAACATTAACATAATTTGCAAATTCCTGATACAGTTTTGCACATTTCTTTGAAAATTACTTAATGCGTAAAACAATTAATGACCTATAAACTGCTGTTCATATAAAGTCTTTTTAAAATATATTTTTTTACTGTCAGGAACTTTTTTATCCTCTATATAGAAGGAAAAATCACAATTCTTGAGAACTTAGAATTTCAGTTAAATGGAGTCACTTTCAAATGAAATACCGTAATTTCCGTAAGAAACGCCGCGGCGTTAACGTGTTTAAAACAAATTTTCAGCGGGTGCGGCGTTTCTACCCATGCGGCGTTTAGGTGCACTAAAAATAAAATATTTCCTATGATGGTCATTGTACATAGTTTGGATGGCCTTGTCATTGTGCATAGACTGGTGCTGTTCCTACACAAAAGACTTGTCAGTTGCTTTTTGCGAACGTTATTTTGTTTACATTCTTTCCCTTGAACGGACCTACATGCCTTATTCACCCTAAACGAGATCTCAGAACAATAACATTCTTCCCCCTTTCAAATCAACATTCTCATCAGTTTTTGAATAGTCTCTTCCTCTGTGATTCGATGAATCTTCCAGTACCCATCCTCTCTCCCCACCCCTGCCTTTTTTGCAATTTTTTTCAAAGGCGGACACGACTTGCCCTGCCTGAAATAAACGAACTCTGACGTCTCTTTCCCTTCAGCATGAATGGATTTTTCTTGGCATTCTGCCAAATAAAGATCCCATCAATTTGGGTACAAGTACTTGTTGGATAGTTTTTAATTAGGGAGCGGAAAATTTCTGAAAATGTCTCTAAACGGCACAGAAGCTATACATTTCTTACCTTTAATTTATTTTTGAGTTATGGTTTCATTTCATGCATTTTTCTTAACTGGTATGTCATATATCAGGACTTAGGTTGAGTTTTTGCATCTATACGGCCCACGACGATGTCACGCGCAATTTAATCTATTGCGGCGTTTCTGTGTAATTTTAATTTTTTTCCCGCCATTTTTCTCGAGTGCGGCGTTTACGCTGATGCGGCCTTTCTTCCGGAAATTACGGTAACTAAATGCACTTTTCAAAGAAAAGTAGATTTTCAGCAATATATACACATTAGAGAACTATTTATGGTAACAAAAAGTCATCTAGGGATATAAATGCTTGATAAATTCAATTTACTATATTAAATGGCACATTTTAACTAAAAAAAACTTGCATTTACCCAGCTTGAAGGAATTAAAATTTTATTATTAAAAGAATGCCATTGTCAGTGCAAACAAGAGATCTACTAAAAATTATAACTACTTATTGTATAAAATACATATCACAATCTAAAAATACACTGAAACTTAAAACATGCTCATACACCCTTTCATTTCAAGAAACCTTAATCTTCAGTCATAATATTTTATAACTTAAAAGAAAGTTAAAAATTCATTCATTGAATATGAGACTTAGCAGACTAAATATTTGATAACAAACATAAAAATAACTTTTAACATTTAAAAATAACATTTAAAGAACTTTGAACAAACAATATCCTTCTGTCTAATAACAAACAATATCCTTCTCTCTAACAACTTAAAGACATGATTGAAAAGGGAAGCAAAGTTAAAGCAAACCATAGTTATTTGGCAGTTATATGTAAAATCACTACAAAAGAGAAAGTTAATGAAATGCACATCTGTCATGAATATATTTGAAGAAACTTGTATAGCAGCTGCTCTCATGCCTTTATACTGAATAAAACAGCTTTCTAAAATGCTTAAAAAATCCACTTTATGAAATGTAAGCACTTAGATAACGTACGAGATTCACTGGATAAAAACATACAAGCACAGAATAAAAACATACAATTAATAACACTTTACAATTAACATTATTAACAAAGTATAACAAAAAAAAAAAAAAAAAAAAAACGGAAATACCTTCATATGTAAAAACAAGCATGAGATAATTTCCTATAATTAAAAATAATACTTAAAGGAAAGAATCAGAAAATTTAAGAAAATTTCAATAAAAATGACTAGTTGCACAACATCGCCATCAATACTTTGTCTGCAATGTAACACACTGCTTTCCAAAGAGAGAAGTGCACTTAAAATATTTATGAATTAGCACATGCAATTTAATACAGAATAATAAACTATAATTTTATTCTGTTATTTCATGTAGTTTGTTAATACAAGTATGTAGTTCCAATGCAGCTGCACATAAAAAAATAGACTAGACATCTAGATGGCACCAATGGAATAAAGAAGGACTCAACCAAAATTTGTCTTGATTGGAATGCAGCCTATGAGTAGTAAAGATCTAATGCTGACTGCAGCTTTTCTGCGATCTAATTAGAAATTTAAAAAAAAAAAAAAAAAAAAAAAAAAAAAATTAAAAAGTAAGTATTACACATATATATGTAAAAAATAACTTTTCCGAGCGATTAAATATTACTATGCTCATTTAACATTAATCACACAAGCACACAATTTTTCATAAATTAAACACACTTTGGAAAAAATTTCCATTTTCTCAGGTGGAAAATTATCAAAGTTCATATCTTATAATAAATAACACTACAAATAACTGCTAAACCGATGTATAACTTTCTAGAAGGGCAGGCACATCCAGACAGTAATTGGTAAACAAACGTTAAACCAAATTCAAACTAAGTGAAAAATTCTTGGAGGTGTATTTCAAAAATAGTTACAGTGATATGCCCACATACTCCTAAGAGCCTTTAAAGATTTAAAAACTGCATAAAGAAGCAGAGGAACTTACTATTACAAGTCTAAATTAGTATTCTGATTCTGAGTTTGAAATATTGTTGTTACATTTGTGCTAGAGTTAGGAGGATAACATAATTATTCTATTTTTGTGAAAGTTTTCGAGAAACTGCATTTTCTGAGAGCATAAAGCTAATCTTGTTACACCTTAAAAGGACACCGGTTTCAAGACACTGAGACCATAAAACAGAATTCGACGCAGCAGCTTCAGGCCATCCCAAAGTCGGAGTTCCAGAAATGTTTCGAGGACTGGAAACATCGTTGGGCCAAGTGTGTTACTGCCAATGGAGCATATGTCAAAGCAGATTGATTCAAAATCTGTTTTGCATAATAAATTCAGTCGTGATACTTTCTGAACAGCCCTCGTATTACTGAATTTCAGGAAATTTAAAATTGTGTTTAACGGGGATATCAAGAAAGCATTTTTAATGATCAAAATTGCTGAAGAGGATCACAAATTTCTTTCTTTGGCTTCTCGATAATCAAAATACTGAATCGAGGCATTAATTACAGATACAATTATGGCCGTGCTGTACAATGTACCTGTTTCACTGTATCCCTGTCCACACACACACACACAGAGTCCTACCCTAAATGTGCCATCAATTGAAGTATACAAATCACATATACAAAGAAAGACCTCTACATACATAATACTTATACATGATAATATAACAAAATTCTTAATTTTATATAACAACATTTACATCAAAACACACAATACTACATTAATTGTTCATACATATGTAATAATTTCTTTCAATACAACTATCAAGATAGCTAGCAAAAACAATAACAAAGTTTCCTTTAAAAATTTTTATGGAATGACTTGTGAACATACAACAAGAGTGAATAATCTGAAAAATGATGGCTCAGTATGAACCACACAACTCAACTCACTAAACGTAAGTTGATGCAAATAACTTTTTACATTTATAATAAAGAAATATGATTGCAAAGATATGAATTATGCATATGAATAGGTTACCGTTTGGTTGCAAAATTTCACCTTTTATACTAACTAGTACTATTAATAGGAAATATGAGAAAACTAATCCTGATTCAGTATGCATGCTAAATACATCATTATATGTGGATGACTTATATTTTGGTGCAGAAAATACAAATGAGGCACATAAATTATCAAATGATGCACTCTCAATTTTAGAGGCAGGTGGGTTTAACTTGTGGAAATTGAGATCCAACCAACTCTCCGGAATTGGAGAGATTATGGGGTTTGATAATCTCAATGTTGAGAATAGTAAAAGACAGCTGAAAGTGCTAGGTGTGAATTGGACTCCTGAGAATTTTGAATGAATCCTATTCTTTTCCTTGATGTTAAACCATTGCTAGATAAATTGAGTTCCGTGAAGATAAACGTGGTGTTCTGCAAGTAGCAGCCATGGTTTTTGACCGATTTGGTATTTCAGCTCTGTTTGTGGTCAGAATAAAACATTTGTTACAAGAGATTTGGGGAAGAAGTATAAAGCAGTTTTAATTCGTGCTCGAGTTGGAAAATATATTTTCAGTCTTTTTCGAGATTTAATCACTAACCAGGTATATTGGACTGACTCGGAAATAGCTTTATATTGGGCCAAGGGAAGTGCTAAATGTTGGAAACAGTTTGTTGCTAATCGTGTTTAGGAGGTGCAGGAAAAGACAGATTTTAAAAGTTGGTTCCACTGCAGGTCTGAAGATAATCCGGCAGATTTAGTGACAAGGGGCATATCAGTTGGAGGTTTGATTTCGAGTGAAAAGTGGTTTTACGGACCTCACTGGTTACCCAAAAGTAAGGAATGTTGTCCTATGCAGTCAAAGGGACCTCAGTTGGATAAAGCTATCGCAGAAAAGGAGGAAATGGGGATCATAGTTAAGAGCATGGCAGTAAGGTTAAGCTTAGTTGAAGAATTGTGGAATAAATTTTCTTTGTGGAATCGATTGCTTAGGGTTGTAGCTTGGTGTTTGAGGTTTATTGGTAATTCCAGGAAATCTAAAATTCTGTCACCCTACCTAAAAACAAGAGAACTTAATCAGGCTCACAAAATTATAATTAAGGCAGTTCAAAGTTCTGAATGTCATGATGAAATCACTAGGCTAGAAAGCCGTAGTTCCTTGAATGTCTCAAATAAGTTATATCAGCTAAGTCTTTTTTTTGATGAAGATGGACTTGTGAGAGTTGGGGAAAGATTAAAAAATGCAAATTTGCCAGAAGAAACTAAATATCCACTTATTCTTCCAAAAAGCAATCACATAACGAACTTACTTATAAATTATTATCATTTAAAATATCTACATGCAGGTTCTCAATTGATGCATTCTGCCCTTCATCAAAATTATTGGATTATTGGAGTGGTCAGTAATTCATAGAATTAAAAGAAACTGTGTAATTTGCATTCGTCATTGTGGGGAACTATCTCTACAACTTATGAGTGACCTTCCTGCATCTGCAATAAATGTTGGAAGACCATTTTCATGGACCAGGACCAATTTTGCTGGACCCATTTCAAGTTTACTATAAATGCGACAGAGGAACACAACCAACAAAGATATATGTATGCTTCATCACGAAAGCTATTCATCTGGAAGCTATCAGTGTCTTCAGTTCCAAGCGGTTTATTGGTGCCCTAAAACTATTGGTTGCACGTATAGGAAAAACACAAATAATTTATAGTGACTGCGGATCAAATTATGTAGGTGCATAAAATGACTTGCAGATGGGACTTCAAAAAACATTGGGAGTTTCTTAGCAGATGAGAAGGTTGAGTGGAAACTTAATGCTCCTTCTGCCCTCATTTTGGAGACCTCTGGGAGGCTGCAGTAAAAACCATGAAATTCCATATGAATAGTTTTAGTGATTGGCTCGCAGATATTAACCATCGAAGAGTTCAATACATAACTTGCTGAAATACAGGCAGTGATGAACTCCCAACCCCTCACTCCAGTTTCAGATGATCCTAATGATTTATCTGCACGCACACACTAAAGAATATCTAATGCATTTACAATTGAGAAATAAATGGAGGAAATCCATGACTAACATGAAAGCTGGAGATTTAGTGTTGATTAAAGAGCACAACCTACCTCCCTTAAAGTGGAGAATGGCTCGAATTACACAAGCTTATCTCAGCAGTAATGAAAAGATTCGAGTCGTCAAATTAAAAACTGCCAGTGGTGAATTAATTAGGCCCATACACAAACCGGTATTACTAATGACTGAGAACTGAACTATATATATATATATATTACTTCATTTCTTTATTATGATTTTAATTAAGTTTTGTTTGGTTTTGTAGTTTAGATTATTTCTACATTACTGATTTATGTGGAAAACGGCTCATTCACTATGCTGAGTTTGTATAAGTGTTACATTTAATGATCTGTTAAACTCCATAGGTATGTATATTTATTTAATGTAATGCTTTAATGTTCGATGTCCTAAAAGGCCATCGGGCCCCAGTATGTTAACGATGTTTTATGCTCATGCCAAATTCAGAGCTAGTTGGCATCCTTATGATGCGAAGCATATACATAAGTCCTAGCTGTTCATACTGTCTGTATTTTCCAGTATTCTGTGTTTTATTATTTGTGTGTTGTGCCATCAATAAATGCGATTTGTGCAACAATGTGTGTCTACGCTTACTTTTCCCCTGGTTCTATGTAACACTTGTATAGCACTGTACTTGAGTAATGCAATAATTCAGCTGATTCACACTAATATTCATAGAGGAAAACAATCAAATAATAATTTAATTTTTTAAAAATTAACATAACAGTACAAAAAGGATTAAAAATGCTTCATTTTTTTAAATCTATTCTTTATCATGCACAGTGACAATGTATCAGCACCCAAGTAACAGATTTTGAAAGAACAGATCATTTTGCATAAACATTAAGCACAGCCTTTTTCTTATTTTATTCACAACTATTTTTTTTCCAGCAAACAACATATTAAGCAGTCCAATAATAAATCTGCTGAAGTAGTTCAAAAGTGTTCTTTAATAAAGAATATCTGTTGACTTTCACTATCCAATATTTAGATAACCAGAAAATGTTCCTCTTCATGCAAGCTTCATTTGGGAATTCACTATTGTATGCAGAAATTATACTTCCTATCAGGTTCATGAGTCTGCATGCAATATCATACCTAGAGCTACAGACAAATTATGCATAATGAAGTTACCTACAATTGAATTTCGATTTTTTATTAAAATGTAAAGCATGTCTTTGATGCCCTTACTACTTATAATTTACACAATTTAAAACTATATATTTGCAACAAACGTGAAAACATTACACGCTTGTATAGATACTAAAATTTTGACTTAGTTCTGCAAGAGCAGTGAATTAAAATTACATAAGATAAAGGATTCATGGTAGATTACAGCACTAAGTGATACAATCTGCTGACAGAGTGAAAAATTCTATCATTATATATCAATATCATATCAGGCAAATACTTTTTGTCTCTTTTCATCAATGTCTGAATCCAGTTCTCTTAATAGGGTTCGATTTTCACAAATAATTTTTAACATTTCATTAGATAAAAGATTAAGTCTCTTGCAACTTCAGCAAGTTCATGTGCTTTATTTTGAAGCATTTAACTTCTCTTTCTAAGAGAAATTTCCTTCCTTTAAGAGAAATCAATTCATCTGTTGATTCCTCCTTTTTATTTTTTTTAACTTAAATAATTTCTTTAACTGATACTGTGAATATGCTGATGAAGCTGCCACACTTATCTCTTTCATAATTGATACATTGTATATCCCACTAGCATGTTTTACATAATCACAAACTATGCGCTGGGTAATGTATGAATTTTTTCCCAGATTTTCTGTTTCTATATTTTTATTGATACTAAATCCTTGTTCAACAGAGGTTTGCCCATGAGAAAGAAAAAAGGTCATTTTAAATGTTTCCCATAACTTGAAGTATTTTTCATTAATGAATGTGTGCAAAAAAGTATCTAATCTCACTTGTTTCACCAGCATATATTTTAAATACTGTAAGCTATGGCTGGACAAAATTTTTGAAGAAATCAGAATATTCCAAAATAATGTTATCACATTCTTCTTCTGAAATGTGATTTGTTTGGGAAAAATGCATCAATATACTTTTCATTCACAGAAATAGCATTTCAAATTAGTGAACAATTAACAGTACATTCTCCATCAGCTTTCCAAGTAGCTGTAAAATAAAAGTTTGTGAGTCATGTTTATGAGACAGGTACCCTTTATTCATGATTTCCTTTTTAGTATTTAGTTCTTGCAAGAGCTTATCAGCCCTAAATCCTAAACTAATTTTGCTTATTTCATTAACAATACCTTTCTCAGAAAAATTAAAGTTACTCAACTATATCTGTGATGAACTGTTTTTTAACATGTACTCTCCTTTTAGAATTTTGAATTCCTGCAAAAGTTGCTTTACTAATTTGTGTAAATAAATAAATAATAAAAAAAATGTGGTTCATTACTTTGGTACAGTTCCTAAAAGGACCAATTCAGCTACACAAATGGGAAAAAAAGGGGGGGGGAATTTTACAGGCATTAATTTGTCTTTAATTGCATCTCTTATTATTTCATATGATTTTCAAGTTATTTTTGCATATTTTCCATTCTCAATTAGCTTGACATAACTCTTTATATCTTCCCACATTTCAAAAGCCTGTAAACATACTGGTGCATTCTCTAGCCACCTATGGTTACAAAATTTCAATAGCAAAGTCTTATGCATACACGCTGTTAAAACATCTTCTTGATGTGCTGGAGAATCTTCGAACAGATAGTACAGCACTTCTAAAATAGAAGGTATATCCCAGCTCATAGTGGATGCTTCTTTATGGAAAGCATTGTTCAAAATATGCAAGCCACAACTACCAACAGATATACATTCAATGTCATATTCCTTTTTCAACTCACGTTGGAGGGTTTCATAAAACTTCAAATTTATGGCTGATCCATTTTATACTTATTATTAGCAGCTTTTTCATATCTAGTTTTTTAGCTGCCATTTGGAAACTTTCAAATATTAGCAGCTGTTGCATGTCCCATGAAAACAGAGGTCAAAAATTAAGTTACAGCTTTATTTTGGCCACACTGCCAATATCTGATATGCAAATCTAATTGCTTTTTTTAATTTGTTTTATTCAAAGTCTTGTCAAATAAAAAGGTAAAGTGGGACAGAGTCATAAATTTGTCATACATGAGACTCTGAAAATAAGGTGTTAATCAAAAATGGCAGAGATAAGTAAGCTTTCTCTCATTACAAGAAAAGCGTCATGATATAACACTGTCAGGGAACATACTTGAAAAATGTTTGCCCATTTCACTGCGAGATCTATAAGAGTGATGCCTTGTCACCACTTTCAAACACCACCAAATTTCAGCATCCAAAACCTCTTTTGAAGCTCCTACAGCATCATCTAAATTATCTGGATTTCACAAAGCACAAATAACACTTGGGGGACTGGAAGCTGCATTATTAACAACATTTGATTTGGGGAAAAAGCTTATTCCACCAATAGCCCTTTCAGAAATTTTTTATGCCGGCCACCTAGAAATAAATAGAAGTTGTAGTACATTTATTTATTTTGCCACTCATATTAATATAATATTAAATAATTTAACTTAAATCAAAATTCTGAAGATTTTCTAAATTTTCATAATGTGATAGTACCCTTAACCGATATTGCAAAGTAATTTAAGTACAAATAAGTAAACAAAAACAGGAATATTTCTGAAATCAGAAGGAAATTGCTTCATGCAGTTATCCTTTGTACAGTAAAAGCTTAACTAATTAGTATGCTCGGAAATTGCCGAATATCTGAAAATTCTGGATCATCAAGCGTAACTGGAAAATGAGGTGTAGACTGTAGCCTTTTTTTTTAGACTTTTCGGCTAAATAATACTTTTGACATTTTGATATGTGCATTAAATATAATTTTTAAGAATATTTTTGTATCTTTCGTAACTTCACAATATTTAGAATACAAAATATCATGAAGACCTTAATTTAACATTCAATAGATAACAAATGTTGCTCTTGATTAGGGAAAAAAAAAAAAAAAAATTATGATCTGTAGCCCAATTATCTCTGTAAACATATAAATTGTAAAAATATATTTATACACATAATAAAAACAGTCCAACGAAATTGAAGAAAATTCTGCTCAGCAGGCACAGTAAAACTCTTTTAAATGTTCATTTACAAATTCCAGATTCAATACCAAAACTAATTATTTTTGCAAAATATAGCAAACTTTATTGTGCAATATGCATGCCTTATTTCTTCCGCACGTGATATTACGCAGTCAGAATCAACAGTTGCCTGTATTCAGAGAATAAAAAAACTAAATAAAGGGAAAGAAAGAG